CACCCGAGACGGCTGTTGGCGTGCGATTGGCCCGGATGTGAGGCCAAGTATAAAGCCATGCGTTATCTCATAAAACACAAGAATGCGCTCCATTTGGGTTTGAGACCATACGTGTGCGAGTGGCCCGGCTGTTCGTACACCGCCGCCACGTCTGAGCACCTGAAGTATCACCGGAAGAACATTCATACGAAGGAAAAGGGGTTTAAGTGCGATTGGCCCGGTTGTGAGTACCGGTGCAGTACTAAGTGGGGGTTCGTTACCCACAAGCGCACCCATACCGGCGAGAAACCGTACGCCTGTAACTGGTATGATATGCAGTGTTATGTTTGTGTTACAAATAATTAATGTTTATTAAATTGTTTTGTAGGCCTGGCTGCGCGTATAGGTGCACTCAGCCGTGTGCCCTAACAGTCCATAAACGCAATCACACGGGAGAGAAGCCATACGTGTGTCCAGAGAAAGGTTGCGGTAAACGGTTCTCATCATTGGCCGGCATTTTCGCCCACAAACCCCAACATAACAGAGAACTAGTGATCAATAGTATCAAAAAGAGTTAATTTTATGCTATTTAATAGTTTATAATGAATTGTTTATTTGATTTCAATTCAATTATTCATATTGTTGACAATTTATGATGAATTTATTTAAAGCTTTTGTTATTGTATTTCTATTTAAATCACTAAAGTTTAGTGAGCTCTAAATATTTGATATTTTTATTAAAATATATTTACATTGGATTAAGGCTTTATTTACGGAATTAAGAATATTCTGGACTTAAAAATAAATCTGTGAGTACCGGTGCAGTACTAAGTGGGGGTTAGTGGCCCACAAGCGCACCCATTCAGGCGAGAAGCCGTACGCTTGCAATTGGTATATGACATGGAGTTTGGATTTTATGCTTACGATTGAGTTTATGTTTATTAAATTGTTTTGTAGGCCCGAATGTACGTATAGGTGCTCTCAGTCTTGTACTCTCATATCCCATAAACGCAAACACACGGGAGAGAAGCCATACGTGTGTCCCGAGAAAGGCTGCGACAGACGCTTTGCATCATTGGCCGGCATTTTCGCCCATCGACCGCATCATAACAGAGAACTGTTGAGAAATAGTGTGAAAAAGAGTTGATTTTCTGGTATTAAATAGTTTATAATGAATTAGTTTTCGTGATTATTTCATTATTATATTTATGACAACTTGTGGTCATTATCTCAATGTTTAGATTATACGGTATAACTATAACATTTGACAATTTGTGATGAATTTATACAATGCTATCATATTATTATCGTATTTCAGATATTTATATCCATAGCTATAACTATAGACATTATTTACATTGAAATAAATTTATTTATGATTAATGAGTAATCGTACCATTAAATTACAAACTATTAAAACTAAAATCAAAGTTTTAAAAACATTTGTAAACAAGTTTTGCCAAAAAGGGGCCAAACATTGATGTGACAAAAGGTAACGTAATTTGAGTGCAAATCGCAAACCGTTTGGCAAACGAGGCATTGAATTGAGTGTTGTTTTCAAACATTGACTCAAACTATTGAATCAGTGGTTGGTTTGCGAAGTGATTATGGATTCAATGGATGAGACACACGACCAACACATGGATGAACACCAGGAGCCCGAAGATCATAGCGGTTCCGACGGTGACAGCTCTGATGACAGCGACGACGCCAATGAGGAGCTCAACGCCCAAGAGATCAATCGACTCCAAGAAGAGGTATACTTATTGTTGTTCTTGTCTTCGAGTTCCGTGTCTTAGATATCATTAAACTAATTGTCTTTTATGGTTACCACCGATCAGTTGGCCGTCAATTCGTACGATTACCAGAAGCACATCGAACTGATCGATAGGCTGGAGTCGAGCGACGATCTCGAGCTGATCCGTACGGCGCGGGAGCGCATGAGTCGCGTCTATCCGTTGACACCGAATCTATGGCTCAAATGGATTAACGACGAGATAAGGATGGCGTCCAACGCCGACGAGAAGATGAATATCATCGCACTGTTCGAGCGGTCGCTCAACGACTACATATCGATCGACCTGTGGTTAGAGTACGTCCAGTACTCCATCGGTCTGATGGACGCCCTGACCGTCGATGGCGTCCGACGAATATTCGAGCGATCGTTGACTTACGTGGGACTCAATGTCGACAAAGGAGTGCTCGTTTGGGACACGTTTCGCGAGTTCGAGTCGTTTATACTCCGGTCGATGACATCCACGCAATGCGAGCTCAACGACGAGATTAAGCGACAATTGGACCGAATATTTGATTTGTTTCGACGACAGCTGTCGGTGCCGTTGATTGGGATGGACAACACGTACAGCGAGTGCCAGAATTGGTGCCAAAGTGTGAAAGAAAAGTTTTCGGTCGACCTGAACGTCGCGGCCGTCAAAACGGGTTACGAGAAGGCGTGCAAAGAGTTGGCGAAACTCGTGGCATACGAGGAGTCGCTGACCAACTCGGAGGCCCCGCATTACGAACAGTACGTACGGTATATCGAGTACGAGACCACTAACGGCACGCCAACGCGCGTGCAGTGCATCTACGAGAGGGCGCTCATCGAGAACTGCCTGATCGCCGACTTGTGGCACAAATACACCACTTATTTGGATAAGAAAGTGGTGATCGATACCATCATTTTGCCCGTCTATGAGCGCGCGGTTCGCAACTGCACGTGGAGTTCGCTGCTGTGGATCAGTTACATGCGAGCGCTCGAGCGGCTGAAGTGCGGCCACCAGAAAGTGATGGAAGCGTTCGAGTCGGCACTTGTGGCCGGTTTCCAAGAGCCCAACGAATACCTGCAGATTTGGTTAACATATTTGGATGGTTTGAGACGTAAAACCAATTGGAAGGACGAGTCGGAAGTAAAGAGTTTGCGAAACACATTCGAGAAAGGGGTTCAACACTTGGCGGCCGTGGAGGGCGCGGACCCCACGTGCACTGTATGGCAGTATTGGGCCAAAGTTGAGGCCAAGTACTGCTCTAATATAGACAGAGCGCGCGAACTCTGGAACGAACTCATCACCAGTCGGCCGGACATCGCATCCCAGGCCCAGACTTGGCTGTCGTACTCGCGTTTGGAGCGACTGTTTGGCGACGACAAGCACTACAGGAAAGTATTGATGAGAGGGTTGACGACATCAACCGATTGGCCCGAAAGCGTCGGACAAATACTACTGGAGTACGAGCGCGAAGAAGGCGTTTCCATCGAGTCGTTCGACGAAGCGATGAATAAATACGAAAATGTGATGAAAAAAGCGAACGAAAGGCGCGTCAAAAACGCCGAACGAGAGGCCGAAGAGAAGAAACGCGAGAAGGCGTCGAAAAAGTACGAGAAATACGAGTTGAAGAGAGCGTCCAAACGAAAGGCCGAACAAACGCCTACCGGAGCGACAGAAGCAAAACAAAAGCCCGCTCCTGATGTCGATTCCGATGGCTTCAAAGTCCCACAAACGTCTGGCTCTTCATCGGTATCGACGCCCAAGAAAGTGAGAGTAGAAGCGAGTGAACAGTCGACCACACAATCAAAGCCCAGAGAGGAAAGGGATCGAAATGTGAACAGAAGAGAGGATAATAGAGAGGATAAGAGAGGGGAAGCGCCGGCACACGGAGTCTCATACAAAGGCGACGGAACTAAAGACTTGCAGACAGTGTTTGTGAGTAATCTAGACTTCAAGATAAGTGAGAAGGAGTTGAGGGACGCCTTCGAGAAGTTCGGGGTCGTCGACGACGTGCGCTTAGTCCGCAACTACAAGGGTCTGTCCAAAGGGTACGCGTACGTCGAGTACTCGTCCATCGAGTCGGTGCGGGAGGCCCTCAAACACGACAGAATGCCATTAGAGGGTCGGCCGGCGTTCATCTCAGAAATGGGCAAACGATCCAAATTTGGTTTCAGTACTTCCGTCGAAAAGCACAAAATATTCGTCAAAAACCTGGCGCCAGAAGTGACGACCGAAGACCTGAAGAAAGTGTTTGAAAAGTACGGAACCCTTAAAGACGTCCGTTTGGTTACGTATAGGAACGGCCACTCGAAAGGCTGCGCTTACGTCGAGTTCAACGACGAGTCGACGGCACTGCTGGCCGTTAAAGAGTCGGACGGACAGCTCGTGGCCGATAGGAACATAAGTGTCGCCATCAGTAATCCAAACGTTAAGTCAAATCCGCGCGAAGACAGAGATCCCATACAGAACTTCAATGGAAAGTGAGTTTCAATTGTTGTTCGTTGCCATCCACTCATCGTTGCATTAATCATCACTTTATCGCATCTCATACTCAGCTGACAGTCACTCTAAAAATAGGAGTTTTCATAGACAAAGGACTTTGAGTGTTACTTCAGTTCAGTTGAATGTGAGATGTGATAAAGTGATGATCAACGCAATGAGTGAAGTTTGGCGTCGGTTTAAGACACGAGAACTCATTTGTGTCTCTCTTTCAGTCCAACCGAGTCGTCGCGATACTCAAAGACCAGAATCGATGCGCCGATGATTCCGATGGCTCTCCGGCGACAGAACGCCATCCGCCGGCGCCCACAGAACGGAAGTACCGACTCTTCGGCCAGCGGTTCCAATAGCAGTGGCTCTGCCTTAAGTAACAATGATTTCCGAAATTTACTTCTCGGCAACAAATAAAGCGTTTGAAATGATGTGTAATAAAAACCATATTGTAATATAAATTATACCATTAAGTCGTGTAAATAAGTATACATTACGGTGTATGCCGTGGGAAACTACATTTACACTTGTAATTATTATAAAACTCATATTTAAAAATAAAAAAACTAATTATAAGAAAAGTTTGAGTATATTATTTACCTATAATTTGTTGCGAAACTTGTTATCCGACAAATTACAGAGCAATGGGTTTTCGCTGTAAAACACTAGAAATCCAAACGATTAGCACAAGTGTTGCGAATAACAGGTTGTGGAGAGAGACTAATGACAGAGCCAGAGGTGGTTATAGTTAATAATAATTTGCTTTTTTGCTTTTATTAATCAAAATAATGGTATCGTTTTTCTCTTTGATATACAAAAATTCAATGATCGCCTCAACAGTAATATTATGAACGATTGATTGGAAAGCCCACGACATTATAATAATAGATATAACAATGCATTATACGATAAATTTAAATTAATAATAATCGAGTAATCAATGATAATATAATGATCATTAATAATCATAACATTATTGACCCCAAAAGGTGAGTCAAAATTGAATTAGAAAGTCGTCGATTAGTTAATACATGAAAACGGAAGTAGATTTGATTGAGAGATAAGAGCATCTCTTTTAAAAATACTTAATTACAATTTAAAAAAAACTAAAACCATAATCAACTCATTCTCCAACATCGTATCGGATCCCAACGGATCGGATGACTAAATATATGGCAATTAAATAATAATTTGGTTTAAAACCCATAAACAATTCGTCTGCTGTTACGACGCCCTACTGTTCACCCATTGAGCGTGACTTCGGTTTACGAGCTCTTGATTTATGAACACATTCTGCACAACAAAAAGCAAAACAAAACATCAATTTTAAAATATGCGTCAAAACCTCAATCACGGCGCTAATTGTCTCTCACATTAATCCCCTGTATTTTGAAGAGATTAACCAACGGAATGCCATTCTGGGCAAAGCCCACGACAGTGGCCTGAAGTATCTGTCCCTGAGCTAACTCCTCGAACAGTGCGTTCGCTTCGGGAGTCCAGCCCATGTCGGCTGCAATTAAAACACACATTCAGTCAACACATGCAAAGAGGCAAACAATCATACGACTGGCCATACCGTCGATGGGCTCGATGTGTGCTAAATAGCATTCGGACGCCTGGAAGGGCAGAGTCATGAAGTCGTAGCGGATTTGTCTCAATGAGGACATCGGCAGCCGAGAGAAGCCGCCGTAATCCACAAACATTACGTCACACTCGTCCGTGTCGTACACTTTGGTGATGACAGCCCTATACCACCCGCCCATCACAGGCACTGTGCACACCATTCCCGTGTGAATGTTTGGCAGGAACGGCGTGTTTTGTTGCGAATACGTCTGATTCATGTAATGGTCTAAACGGCTGAGCGATGGGTACGTGGGATGAGTGGGCTGTTGCAGGAAAAAGTGACCGGCGCTGACCAGACTGGACAGTATCACATCACAGGATATACCCGACGGTAATTGGAGCTAAACATACACACAAAACACAGCCTAAGTGTGAGAGGACAGGCATCGCGCGGGGCGACGGAAGTGAGGGTCTCGGCATACCTGACACGTCTGCGGCAGAGCGCAGGTTTGCGAGGCGTTAATCAAATTGATTTGTTGTAACGAGACGTCCGCATAGGCGTGCAATGGGAAGCGCATCCGAATCAGAATCAGCGCCTCTTTGATGGCAGACCTCGTGCCTGAATGGGACATACAGTCAGACAATCCAATCAATGCCTTATTGATTATCATATTGTCTGAGCGACAGGCGCTCGCACTACCGGCCCATACCTGTGAGCGTGCATATCTTCATATCACTGGCGAACATGTGTTGATTGATCACAACAGTGGTCGTCGTCTCGCGTTTGATTTGCGTCACAAACCGACCCTTTTCTCCGATGAGGCGTCCGCACAGGTATTGCGGGATTTCAAACTGATAGACAACCGTCTCGTGCGGACCGCCGGCGCCCGCGTCCAGAAGACTCCGGTGCTCTATAGGGCTGGCGTGCAGTATATCACACGTGCAATCGCTGCCCCCTTTCCCGCTATCACTCGAGCCCTGCAGTCGGCGATCAAATTGGTACCAAATGAGACACACGAAGACCGAAATCACTATTAAATACTCACCTCTTCGTGCAGTTCTTGCAGTTGATTCATCTGCAGAGCGTTCAGCTCGTCGTTGGCGTCATCGCTGGCGTCGCTCTCAGCGACGCTGTCGGCGTCCGACGTGTCGTTGCGCTTATCACCGCCTTTTTGATCCAACGGATCCGCAATCGTCTGAAAAAAAGTCGCTCATGAGGTGCGGACACAAGACATGGCACACAAACACCCGGATAGTACAGTACCTCGTCGTGCAGTCCATTCATATGGTGTGCCGTAAGCGCTGGTGTCGTGTCATTGTCTTCACGCGCATCGCTGTCTTCGTGCGGCAGGTGTTGGTCCACGTGTTGGTCATGTCTCTGGTCCATGGAGTCGATGATCATTCTGGCAAACATCATGACAAACATCATGATTGTGAATCATTTGGCAAACATACGGTATGGTTGTGTGCGCGCTATATAACTATACCACTAATACCTGGGATATAATGCCATAGCCATAGACAGTGATCGCAGACACGCGTGTTGTGTTAAATACCACACAAACCACTGTATGATTGTATGACTGTATGAGTGGTGCACTCAATGCAGTCAACAGGCAGTGGCACTGCAGTCGATGTGTGCACACGTGTGTCGCCCAAGAATCAAAATATCTGTTGTGTGAGCGCATACATTACGTCCCATATATGCGCTCAATTTTTTAAATGCCCTCAAAACGAATGAGCATGTACAATTTATGATCTGAAAAATTGTAAGGATTTCCATAGGCAACGTATAGTTAATTGGGGGGTTGGTTGTCATTTGTATCGAAAGTTTAAATACAAATGCCAACCAACCCCCCCAATTAACTAT